GAATTATGCATGTGCTTTTAGCCAATCAGAATTGGGGAAATATTTTGAATGGAATAGAGGACCTTGAAATTTCATGTATTTATACACGCATGTTTAGCCTGCGACTGCAGACATATTTCCGGTCGTTGCTAGCACGTGTACTAAATCAATTCACAAACAAGTAAAAAGTATCGACATCAATAAAGTAGGAAGTAAAAAACCTTTAGAGAGTAAATCCTGTTTTGCGTACAACTAACCCCCTCCTCGTTTCTCGATCTAATCTCCAAGCAGAGCGAGACTGAATGCCGCTGCAAGCGCATTCTTGTTTAGTTATAGGTAAGCTGATATTTCGAACTGAATCAACTGCAGTTTCATAACCCGGAAGGAAGAAATTTCTCACCTGGTTATAATTTCTGTTCTTTGGATATAAGCCAAAGCTAAATTAGTGTCTTGGAAGAAGACAAATGCTTAGAATTGAAACAAGAAATTATTCATGCTTTACTTGGATTGAAGATTTTGTAGAATTATTTTTGCACTAGCTTTTTCTTGGTTTGATGTAGCTGTTTTATACTGATCAAAGTGAAGCTTCAACATCCTCTCCCCAGGCATGGCATATCTTTATCTTCTTGGTGACAGGTGGAGGGAGGGGGGGGATCTGATAATGTTAGTCTTCTTGGTGGTGTGATAGTTGAGCCCTGTCTTTGATTTCTTGTGGTATGTCGGTGCTTGCGTAGGGGTGTAAAAAGACAACAAGGCAGCTGACATGGCAAGTTTGGATTACTGTAAAGGGAAATATTGCAGATCATGACTGATTGACTAAAAAACAAATGATTATGAAGGCTTTGCTCTGTCTGCTGACTCAGCTTCAAGAGCATAAGAAAGCTACAGTTAGTAAAAGAGTGATATAGCCCCTTTTTAAATTAATTCCCCCAGGGTGGGGGCATTTGTCATCCAAAAGGGGCCTACAGTTGGTGATTGGAACAACTTGTTGGCTTGGGGAGTGGAGAATTTCAACACAAGTTTTACAAAAATTTAAATGCCTAGGGGCTGCCCAGGGTAGGAATGTTGAAGCTTTGATTTTGCTGATATATTGCCAAATTTAGGCGTGGAGTATGCAAATACCATCAGGTGCATCAAAGTATGTAATGTGAGGAAAAACATGTTCTAATTGGGTGCAAATGTGACATGTTTTGGCGCCAAACATTCAAAGTTTGGAGTTGGCGGCTGTTGTCGACTTGATTTGTTTTTACTCAAAAAAATAGTTTTAGGCGTTAAGAATAATTTCTGCGGAGGCAAGTGTCCTGTTTCTGAGCAAGAAATATACCTGTAAATTGAGAAAAATGAAATATGAGCAGAATGTGCTGATCCAAAACATTTAAACAAGTTACCTTTAGCACAACAGTTTTCTTTAACGGCTGTTAAACTTCAAATATTTGGTGGCAAAACACGTCATGTTTTGCACCCTACTAGAACATGTGTTTTTTGTCTCATGTCCACACTTAGATGCAACTGCGTGATGGTACATATGGGAATAATATTATTTCTCAAGAATGCATTACTTGGTCAACAGATTTAAGGAAATACCTGAAGCTCGTGGTCGTCAATTTGAGTGGAACCCCTGCATAACATTCACTGATGGTGACTGTAAGGAAGTGTTGGTGAGTCTCACTATTTTGATTACTACTACCCTCATACTCCACAAAATATGGACTGGATCAGCAATAATATCAGTCTGTAAATGTAAGCTAATGTTCTAGTTCAAGATGAAGGTTAAAAAGGTTTCAACTTAGTTAGGAGGCAAAGTGAAATCAAAATTGAAAATCAAACTAGTTTGAAAAGAAGAGACCTTGGGACCTTATGATGCAGGCAGCTGGGCAATAATGATGGCCATTTTGCTCTTTGTATAATATAGTTTTTATTATGTTATACGCAATAAACAGGGTTCTCAATAGAAGGCGGCACCCGGCGATTGATCGCCGCTTACTTTGGGATTAATAGCCGCTTACTTTGTGTTTAGGTCGCTTTTCTTTGCTTTGTTTTGACACCTCTGGCTTTGCTGAAGAGCCTCCTACTTTATCAGTGATCACCTCCTACTTAAAAATCTATTGAGAACCCATAATAAATCTTTTTGAACTGACAAGTGTCAGCAATAAACCAGTTTGAAACCATTTTAACCCAAATTCCACTTTGAAATACATCGTTAACAGTGATTACACGTACATGGCTGGCTACAAGCGGACTAAGATTGCCTTTTTGGATAAGGAGACTGTGCTCTGATTTCAAAGAATTGCACAAAAATTGACGAATTTTGATAGCTGACTGCTGTATTTTCAATCGACACACCCTTCTTTTCTTATGCTATTAAGGCCACATGGGTGGTTCGTATCACAGTAGCCTTTTTTCCTGAGCTTTTGCCCATCAGGTACTTGAGGCACAGCGCAGTGAGAAAGATGAGTGTTGGAGTGTATGGCATATCAATCAATCATTTTTCATGGCTTTATTTTTAACCCTTTTCACAGAGTTGCCAAACTACTGATACTGCCAGAAATCCAGCTGGGACAAAAGACACCACCTTTTCTGTAGACAGTGAAGGGAATGCAGTTATTACATATGGAAAATCTACAGCAAGTGATGGCACTGAAAGGTACAATATATGAAAATGACTGGGGTGTACAGCTGGTTAGCAGCCCAGTTGGGAGAGCACTGGTCTGCTGAGCAGGAGGTTGCAGGTTCAAACCCCGGTCGGACCAACACTCGGGTCTTTAAATGACTGAGTCAAGAAAGTGTTGCCTTTGTTATGACATCTGCAAATGGTTAGACTTTCTAGTCTTCTCGGATAAGGGCAATAAACTGTAGGTCCCGTCTCACAGCACTTTCACTCAGCTGGTTCTTGTGAGATGTAAAAGAACCCACACCACTGTTCGAAAAGAGTAGGGGACGTAGACCCCAGCTGTGTGGCCGATATTTCCTGGGCTTGGCGGGTTATCTGTAAGGAGAGATCTTAACCCTTGGACGTCAAGGGGGAGGGAGGGAAGGGGTGGTTTGCCACCCCCTAACATTTTTCTATGATAAAACATCAGCACCTGATTTTTTTTGTAGCTGTTTGTTTATCATGCGCATTTTGAGACAAGTTTAGTTATGGTCAGTTACTATGGTTATGACATATGACGTTAAAAGAAGCAGGTAGTCAAGCCGTTTTTTAGTGAAAATTCATATTTTTTTTAACTTCTTTCAGGAATAAAAATAAGCTTGTGGATAAAATGATTCAAAGTAATAATTACTTATTTATGTGTTATTTTACATGTTAAGTACAAAAAATTATTAGTTCTCACTGTTTTTACCTGATTTTTTCAAGAATTATTCTTGAAAAAATTTAACAGGGTACATGTGCATGGCAACACAACCATCTTTATCACTAAATCAATCAAATCTTGTATTACATTGACAGACAGACGAAGATTACATTGAAGTGTGATCTGGAAACAAATGGAACCAAACCTACAGGCTTTACAGGAAAAGTGGATGGAAAATTAACAGTATATGTAAGTACAGTCAACTCTCTCGTAAGTGACCACCCTTGGTGCACGACAAAGTGGTCGCTTACGGGAGGTGGTCGTCTATGGGAAAAATCAAGAAAAAAACTCAAACTAAACTGATTAACGTAATTACATAAAGTTAAAATCTTACTAGCAAAAATGAGGCAAACAGAGAACTGCTAATAATGATGAAACATTGTACGTAACATGATTAAATGCATGAATGTGACAATCCACTTTTTTACCTACAGATCGTATTACGGACATCTCTTTTGTTAGTCAACTGCTATAGTCTGTCAGCTAACTTGGTCAGCACTATTCAAAAATGAAGTTTTGTGACATTCGAGCAACGGTTTTGTTACAATCATACGTGATCATGCCCGGTGATCGCTTACCGGAAACAGAAAACAAAAGAATATGTCAAATTTCTGGCCCAAAAAGTGGTCGCGGTCGTTTAAGAAATTTACGTAGTGGTCGCTTACAAGAGAGTTTTTGAAACAGTGTTTGACTGAGAAACAAAACGGTTGTTTGTAAAGTGGTCGCTTACGGGAGGTGGTCGCTTACGAGAAGTGGTCGCTATGACTCGTGAGAGAGTTGATTGTTGCGTTCGAGGTACGAGAACGCAACCCCTAATTTGTGTTGGTTGTTCTGTGCCTTATTGCGTGTCCTGTGCAATTTATAAAGGAGGTTATTTTGAGATTGCATTTTCGTCGTCGTCGACACACATTTGCCTCACTTTGAAGTGCTTGCTTACGTTTTGTCTCACTTTGACGCGCTAACTCACGTGGTGTTTCATGTGTCTTCAAAGGTTTGCTGAGATCTGATATTCTGTCTTCGTAAAGCGTTCATCTTTAAAAAAGTTTGCTGAATCTTCGCAAAGCGTACATCGATCTGTGTTTGCTGAATCTTCCAAAGCGTTCATCTTTCAGAAGTTTGCTGTTAAATTTTACTTTGGATTAAGCCTTCATATTTTTCAGCATGGTTCGTCACCGTCTTTGAAAAATGTGTGCGATTCCTGGTGCATGGATCAAAGCGGGTTTAGGTCGGCTGCCTTTGTGTCACAAAGTAAATCTACTGAGATGTGAAGCTCGGCGGCGCCATTTGATCATGACTTGTGATATTTTCGGCACCAGACAAACGAACACTTTTAACTCTATGTTTTTTATTAGGAAAAACTTATAAACCAGCCCGCAGTAGCGCCACTCTGATCTCGAGTCACTGAAATCAACACGCTCGACCAAATTACTGGAAAAGTTATTGACGTGAGCGGCACAGACACTTTCCACTGAAGGCTCAGGGTTAGTGCGAAATTTGAATTCAGATGTGAAAGCTTTTAAAAAAGTAAGAATCTTAAGAATCTCACATGCACGTGAGCTTTAGGGTGTGTAAGGCAAGAAAAAAAATCTGCCCATTTTCCATACAATGAGTTCGTTCAGATCAGGCAGTTCAAAATTGTCGTCAAGCTGTCAAAAATCTATTCACAACTCCACCCTCTTCATGAATTTGATACACTCGGTGAATGATCATTTCGCGAGAGACTAGCGTCTGTTATTGTCTGCAGTTCAGGGCTTCGAATCTTGTGGTGAACACTGTATCCAGTAATTGCAAAGCAGTCCTTAGCGTCGTTTCCCTGTGCAATGTAGTGTTTAAGTGGAACTGGCAGTATACCAACAAAGCCGGCCTGTGCATGCTCCTCAAAGAGGGAGAAAGTCGAAAGAGCTGAGTGCTTCAGATAATTGTAGCATGTGCGGCTGTTGTTTCAAACCCCAGTTCAGCGGTTTAAAGAGTGGGTGGATAAGCTGATTTTAGAACAAATCCCAATTCTTGCGCGAGCAAATCCAGGCGATCATCAACCACCATTTATGGTGAAAGCTTTATGAAATCATCATGGTTGGGAAAGTTGCGACATCTCAGACTTGGATGTGTACTTTTCTTTTACAGTCTGGAACATATCTTTCAAGGTATTGCTGTGCAGTGGGAGGATCAAGTGGGGGCCTAAGTGCTGGCAGCATTCTACTCATCATGTAAGGTTGATAAACAGGGTTACATACCACAACGGCGACCAGGGCGAAAACGTCACTTAAAAAGTGACTTCGCGTTCTTTGAAACTTCAGCGCGATTATCCCAACTCACTCACTTTTTCCAATGTAGGCAAACTTTCCTGGAGTTGAATTCTTAACAAAAATATTCAAGTTTAAGAGAAAAAGAGAAATTCGTCGTCGATAAAACGTGAAATTAGGCAATTCACGTCATAGACGTNACAATGAGTTCGTTCAGATCAGGCAGTTCAAAATTGTCGTCAAGCTGTCAAAAATCTATTCACAACTCCACCCTCTTCATGAATTTGATACACTCGGTGAATGATCATTTCGCGAGAGACTAGCGTCTGTTATTGTCTGCAGTTCAGGGCTTCGAATCTTGTGGTGAACACTGTATCCAGTAATTGCAAAGCAGTCCTTAGCGTCGTTTCCCTGTGCAATGTAGTGTTTAAGTGGAACTGGCAGTATACCAACAAAGCCGGCCTGTGCATGCTCCTCAAAGAGGGAGAAAGTCGAAAGAGCTGAGTGCTTCAGATAATTGTAGCATGTGCGGCTGTTGTTTCAAACCCCAGTTCAGCGGTTTAAAGAGTGGGTGGATAAGCTGATTTTAGAACAAATCCCAATTCTTGCGCGAGCAAATCCAGGCGATCATCAACCACCATTTATGGTGAAAGCTTTATGAAATCATCATGGTTGGGAAAGTTGCGACATCTCAGACTTGGATGTGTACTTTTCTTTTACAGTCTGGAACATATCTTTCAAGGTATTGCTGTGCAGTGGGAGGATCAAGTGGGGGCCTAAGTGCTGGCAGCATTCTACTCATCATGTAAGGTTGATAAACAGGGTTACATACCACAACGGCGACCAGGGCGAAAACGTCACTTAAAAAGTGACTTCGCGTTCTTTGAAACTTCAGCGCGATTATCCCAACTCACTCACTTTTTCCAATGTAGGCAAACTTTCCTGGAGTTGAATTCTTAACAAAAATATTCAAGTTTAAGAGAAAAAGAGAAATTCGTCGTCGATAAAACGTGAAATTAGGCAATTCACGTCATAGACGTGCAGTGAAGGCAAAGAAATGTACAAAAAAGCGTGATGCACGTGCAAAGTTGTTGTTTTCCTAACCTAAACCTTTTGCTTTTTTGACCTTCTAGTTGCCGTCGCCGTCGCCGTCATGACATCTTAAACTCCCTAATATCCCGTGTTTTGCGGAGATCAACCTTTTAACCCAATCCGGTTTGCAAGTTGTTGTTCCCTAAAGGACACCTTAGTATTTAGTTTGTATACGATGATATGGTGTCCAAAAGTCATCTCTTGCCATAACTACTTATTGTGAATGTAACCTGTGACTGGCTGGATGGCTCCGGTCGCGTTCGTTACACTGTGAATGACTTTAGGAATTCCTCTGTAGATGCGTCCATTATTCCAGGAACACATTGGCTTTTTACTAAGTTGGTCAAGAAAGTTAGAGCTCAAAATGTAGCTTTGTCTATTCGTGATTTAAGCCTAAACTTTCATTTGTAGGAAAGAAAGCCGTGAACAGACAGAAAACTAATGTACTGTTGTTTTATTTTCATGCAGATTTTTCCCTCTGCTTCTTATGTATTTTATCATTGGAATTCTTGTTAACCGGTATGGACGGGGAATAGAGAGCATGCCAGAATTGATACCCAATTATTCTTTCTGGGCTGACATTCCTTTCCTTGTCAAGGTAAATAATGACTTCTTTTAGAGAGTAATAAAGCCCAGGAGTTAGAATAGTAAGGCACTGAAGAGATTACATTACATCTTTTCAAGTAGTAGTAATAGTCTGCGTGCAAGAAAATTATTTCCTTTTGTGCTAGTCTGGGTACCAGAGGTTTTTTTCGCCCGTGCAGATGAATTCTTCTGGGCCAACAGATCTTCGGCCAAAGGCCGAAGTCACGAACGGCGAAGCGGCTCACTTTTAAGACTTGGTAGGATCATAATAGTAGTATACTGTTATCCCCAACAACAGTGACCTTGAAGCGTTAGCCTATTTCCTAAACAAGCGTCCAGTTCTCGACCCACCTACAAGCACCCTCACCCGTCTTGCTGAACTTGTGCTGACCCTCAATGCCTTTACCTTTAACGGAGATTTTTACCAGCAAATCGGAGGGGTCGCCATGGGCAGTAAGATGGGCCCAAACTATGCATGTCTTTTTGTTGGATACGTTGAGGAGCGGATAGCAAGCCAGTACCACGGCTTTGTACCTCAACTACACAAGAGGTACATCGATGACGTCATCGGAGTCGCATTTTGTAGCCGCGTGGACCTGGAAAACTATATTCGCTTCGTATCCAACTTTTATCCTGCTCTTCAATTTACGCACAATCTCTGACACTGAACTCTCTTTCCTCGATATCACGTTACGCATTACTGATGATCACATCAGCACTACCATTTACTACAAGGACACTGACACCCACACCTATCTTCATCATCAGTCCTCACATCCCAGCCATTGCAAAAAAGGTCTTCCTCGCAGTCAACTCTTGCGACTTCGCCGTCTGTGTTCTGAAGACTCAGATTTTCTGGAAAAGGGCGGTGAAATGGTGTCTTTCTTTGAACAACGTGGATATTCCCCCGCCTGTTTACAGAACGATCTCCAGGCCATCCGACGGTTAGACTCGGCTGGTGTACTAAACAATCACAACCCCTTTAATCAAAGATCAGAAAGGATTCCTTTGGTTCTTACTTACCATCCTTTAAACGAAAGAATCAAGAGAATCCTACTTCGTAATTTCAACATCTTGTCGAGTGACCCTGAAACCAGAGCAGTCTTTCCGCAGTCACCGTTGGTCGCCTATCACCGTGACAGCAGCCTCCGTGATATCCTCGTGCACACTTCCGATAGCAGCCAATCCAGTGTTCAGGCGGTTACATCTCCGTGCTTACACGCTCGCTGCCGCACTTGCCATTACATTTCTAGCGATACTAGTGTCCGTGGCCCTCAATACTCGTTTGTCATCAAGAAGGCGTTCTCTTGTTAAACGTCTGGCTTGGTCTACTGCATTACCTGTCGCCGTTGCCCTGCCGTCTATATCGGCGAAACAGGGCGTTCTTTAAGACAACGTTTTGGCGAACACCTTCGGAGCATTGAAAAGAACTTACCGGGGTTTCCTGTGGCTGAACATTTTAACACGGCTGGTCACTCAATCGACGACGCTTTGGTTCGAGGAATGATGCTCTCTGTAGATAACGCGCAACGGAAGCGCCTGGAAATGCGACTGATATTTCAACTTGGCACCAGTCAGCCGCGCGGTTTAAACTCCGACTTCCGTTTCCTCTAGGCCGCGCGCAGAGCCGCGCGTGCACTACAAAGCCTTTAATTTTTGTTTCTAATTTATGGCGTACATAAACCTTGCAACGGTTTCAACGAACTGGTATTTCCACTGATGAAGGGCTAGGCCCGAAACGTTTGGAAAGGATAATTTCAACCAACACGGCACTTTTGTTCATGATTTCCTTACTTTTAATGAACATTTTTGTTACTTTCATAATAGTACGTCCTATTATGATCTTATGGACTTGACCGAAAGTAGAAACCGCGCATGAAAAGTCTCTGGCAACCAGGGTACTTTTTTGCTTGTAGGTAACAAATGAAATACATGTAGGAGACGTCTGCTCGCAGGCAGTCTGTAGTAGTAACAAAAGATGGCCAATTTTAAGCTCGGTAGTAAATGAAAAGAATGTAGTAAACGTTATGATGTTTGTATTCGAGGCAATAGAGAGCTTTAGATTCGACGACAAGAACGACCACGAGTACGAGATTTCATTTAAAGTTTTTTCGCGTATTGTCAAAAAATATACACCCCGGAATTCTTCATTGTACCTTTTTTTTTACCAGATAAGTTAGCACTGTTATCGTTATTGAGGGGGTTAAAACCTCTCCCGATTGCTAAATGGTAAAACTTCAAACATTTGATAACTTGTTTCCCTCACTTCGATATTCTTGTTAAAACTCGTGGTAGAGTGACGACGGCTATCACGTTTTCCCGCCAAAATGACGCTGGTTCACGCTTGAGCACTACTTAGTACTGAGAAAATCTCGTACTCGTAGTCGTCCTCGTCTTAGAATCTAAAGCTCTCTATTGTAATCCCAATCGCCAGGGCGAGGGTGCTCTATCCATTGACCTATGGAGATACTTAGGGCCTGTTTACATGGAGTGGGGGACCCCGGTCTAGTGGGGTAAGTTTCTTTTGTTTTCACGCTCTGGGGGACACAAAACAAAAGAAACCTACCCCACTAGACCGGGGTCCCCCACTCCATGTAAACAGGATCTTAGAGAGAACAAGACCATTTTCGAGGTAGTCACGTGTGATACGTGTCCTAATATCAATCAGTAATGTCAAATGCGCACCTTGTGGTGATAAAAAATGGCAAATTTTGCTGAATTCGACGAATGTTAAAATGATTGCCATATCACGAGCATTAAGGAGTTTTACATCAAAAATCTATTTCCAAGAAGGAGGCTGAAAAGAGCAGCAGCCCTTGGGGTTAGACTGCAAAGATCCCCTATTTTCTGTTGGTCAAGAATGCAAGCAGTCGTAAAAAAGGCCTGGAGCAAGGGTAAATAGAGAGAATGAGACAGGCCTTTGAGGACAGTCGCGCGCTTCCTGCCTTGAAAAACTGATTTTTAGATAATTAAACCGACTGTTTTGAGGTCTTTTGGGGGCTAATTCCCCTCTAAAAGTGACGGTGTGCTTGTCAAAAGTTTCCAAACTACATCCCAAAGATACCAGAATTTCGTTTTGTTAGTCGGTAAAGCCCAATTTCACATTCATCTTTGAGAGATATCTTTGTAAAGAACCTAATTGAGTGCGACTGACAATTTTCACCACAATTAACACCAACGAAATTTAAAATAAGTTGGAAGGTGATGAAGTTAAAGTTTGAGAAACTGGTACCTCCATACTCGGCTAAATATGAAGAACACACAATAAGTACTAGATCCACCGGCGCATTTCCTCACGCCTTGTTTTACCGTGAGGTTGAAACTAATAGGAGCATTTATTTTAAAGACATATGATCGAACCTCCATTTGCGACCACCTCGTAAAGTGACCAGCTCCCATAAACGACCACCTATCCAAACACCCAAATTTTCCAGTGAAGCCACAACAGTTGCACCCTCCCGTAAAAAATACACCCCCTGTAAGCGGCCGCGACCACTTTTTTGGATGACGGCCTTGGAGTTTTCCATTGTTTTTATGGTCCTCTAAGCGACAACTTGGATCTCTATGCGCGTGTAATGTATTACACTAGTAAGGGAATGCAGTGTAGTTTTAGTGACAACATGAACCGACTGCAGTCGACTCTCTCTTAGCGGACACCTCTGTAAAACGGACACCTAGAGTTGGTCCCTTCCTTTCTTTGCTCTCTCTATTTGACTTTCTATAAGACGGACATCTTTCTAATACGGGCAGCTAGTGCCGGTCCGAAAGGTGTCCGTCTTAGAGAGAGTTGACTGTACACATATGGTAACTTAGAAACTGCATGAAGGGAATTCTCTTGCAAATTGTCAATTTGCAAGAGAAGAGCATATGTCCTATGCTCGTGACATATTGATCACATCAGTTTTCATTTTCTTCGCCGAGCTGAAAAATTTCCCATCTTTCTTTCAATATCACACACATGACGATTTCGACATTGCTGATGCTAGAACTACACAGGACGCGTGCCATCACATGAACTTTGTATAATGGCCCAGTAGCTCGCCACGAGTCCTTCGTAACTCGGTGGTTAAAGCATCTGAGCAGTGTACGGAAGGTTGTAGGTTCAATTCCCGTCGGGGACTCAAATTTTTTTGTCCCGTGTTCGTAACATGTTGATTACACCAATTCTCATTTCTTCACCTAGCTTAAAATTTACCATCTTTCTTTAGATATCCGGAAAATGTAGATATGTTAAGTCCTCTTCCAGGAAGAGACCCTTGTGGTTTGATTTTCGTAACCGACCAATGAAGCTTCGCATTTTGTGTGGTCGCTTACTAGAGGTTCGATTGTATTTAATTTAGATGTTTCCATTTTCTCAAAATAATCATTTACTTATATTTGTCCGTCTATACAAACTAGTTCATTAATAGCCTGCGTAATAATCTTATGAATTATTCTTGAATAAATTTTTCACGTCTTTTTGTTTTTATGCAATATATATATATATTTTTTCTTTTCCAGGATGGATTTGTATTCACATATGACCGTATAAAGACCACCTGTGCTGGGAAGTGTGGTAAAAGTGGATATGCAGAAATATAAACAATGAATAATCCTAGGTTTTTAATTTCCAATGGGCGTATTTTTTAAAAAATCCTTTTAGATGAGCAATTTTTTGCACGTTATTTGTTATGCTAGCAATTGAAAAGAAAAATACAAACAATGAATTTTAAAATTCCATCCCTGGGGAGAGTGATTACAGGGTTCACCTCCTGGGTTCGCATAGTCTTAAAGTCCTTGAATTTTAGGGGAAGTCCTTGAAAAGTCCTTGAGTTCCATTTTTCCTTGAAAAGTCCTTAAATTCCTGTGCAAGTCCTCGAAAACTCCTTGAATTTTCTTCAACTTTGAATGTAGTGGCCTGGAAAGTGTTTTTTGATGCTTTTTGGTTGTCCAAGACAGAATAGAAATCATAGCTCAGAGAATTTAAAGGTTATTTACATAAAGTGCTCAATTTTTTATGCAATAATTAACTATCAATTTAAGACAAGTGAACTGAAAAATGTAGAGAAGTTGGTGAAGCAAACAGTTCAAGCCTTAAAGCCTTATTAGAATAGACTGGGAATATTCCCAGTAGGTGGTCCTTGAAAATCTAATGTGGTCCTTGGAAAGTCCTTGAAAAATTGTTGTAAGTTTTGTATGAACCCTAGTTAGGTTCGTCATGATATCGGGAGGATCTAATGACGCTCCCCGCGGATCGGCCAGACTTCCCTCAATGTTGTGCGCGTTCTCGTCAAATTTGCCCCTGGGGCGACTGGGAACGAGGCTGAATCAACAAAGAGAAGTGTGACGTTACGCCACGATGGTAGCAAAATTCCTGAATCTCAACAATCTTTCATGGCAGAGACAACCATGTGTATTGTCGAACAACTGTAGAAAAGTATCGGCTGCCGTTTTGTTCCTGAGTGTAGTCATACACAGGAAAATCATACATGTCACCTTTTTTTGCATAATATTCTGACATATTTGCTGGACCACGATTATTTTTTTGATGTACCTTAGAACCAAGTGAAAACTTGTATGACTTGTATACTTTGTTGTTAAACCATCTATATATTGTTGTTAGCGTCAAAACTAATTTAAAAGCCTCTGTATGATGAGCATTATGAAGTATTTTTAGTGATCGTTTAGGGGCGGAGACCGAACATTTTAAGTGAGGAAACAAGAGCATAATGTACAACAAAAGTTCAGTGAGTACTCGGAGCAGCTGTAACGCAGTCAGAAAGTTAATCGGTAAGATTCATCGGAAGCTTATCCTCACGAAAGTGCTTGTTTACAAGAGAAAGCCCGTTCACTTTCCGTTTCTAGATAAAAAGGAAAATGAGGTTTATGTTTTTAATTGGCCTTAAAATAAAGTATAGAAATTCGTATTTGATTGTTGCAAAATGTGATTGTTGTCTTACTGCCATATAGTCTCCCTCGCAGCCGTTTTCGTCTCGTCACGCAAGGAGAAGACGAGACAAAAAGGAACGTGACGAGACAAACATGGCTGCCGAAGGGAGACTGTCTGTCAAGCCGATGATTACTATAGGTAATCTATGCTTTTTTTTAGTGCAATTACGAACTGTAGATATAATCCATTTTTTATCTTCTGTTGGCTTTATTTCTCCACGCACAGCCCTAAGTAAGACCTCAGGCACGAGTCAAAATATTGGCGTCGCGTCCTTCCAAAAAGAAGCCCCTCATAAAGGGCCTTTGAAAAATATNAAGATTCATCGGAAGCTTATCCTCACGAAAGTGCTTGTTTACAAGAGAAAGCCCGTTCACTTTCCGTTTCTAGATAAAAAGGAAAATGAGGTTTATGTTTTTAATTGGCCTTAAAATAAAGTATAGAAATTCGTATTTGATTGTTGCAAAATGTGATTGTTGTCTTACTGCCATATAGTCTCCCTCGCAGCCGTTTTCGCCTCGTCACGCAAGGAGAAGACGAGACAAAAAGGAACGTGACGAGACAAACATGGCTGCCGAAGGGAGACTGTCTGTCAAGCCGATGATTACTATAGGTAATCTATGCTTTTTTTTAGTGCAATTACGAACTGTAGATATAATCCATTTTTTATCTTCTGTTGGCTTTATTTCTCCACGCACAGCCCTAAGTAAGACCACAGGCACGAGTCAAAATATTGGCGTCGCGTCCTTCCAAAAAGAAGCCCCTCATAAAGGGCCTTTGAAAAATATAAGCCCCGGGGTTTATTTTCGGAGTTTTACGGTATTTTATAAGAATATCGAGGCTGAAATTTGAAAAATTTTTAGAACTGATAAACCCGAGGCTGAGATTTCGAAAAGGGTGATTATATTGAGTGATGAAATCTAAAAAAATACATTTTTAACTTAGCCGTATCAAATTATTGCTACCTCCCACGGCAAAAATACCCAACAAAACGAAGAAACCTGCATTGGTTATAGCCAAATTTCCAGTGTTAATGACAGTTCGATAAGCGGTACATGAAATACATAGCTTTAGTATACAGGAAAAAAAAATTAACAAACCGCTAAAAGGATATTATAAATTCTTCCTTTTTAAATTATAATTCAAGAATAATACAAGAATATTTTAGGGTAAAATCGGTAGAAAAATAAGAATATTCAGCCTGGCCCGGAAAAAACAACATTCGTAATAACATGTAATTTAAAAAAAAAGAGTGTACAGTCGACTAGCTCTCTCTTAATGGACACCTATATAAGACAGACACCTCTGTAAAACGGACACCTAGAGTTAGTCCCTGCTTTTCTTTACTCCCTTTAGTTGACTCTCTATGAGACAGAAATCTCTCTAAGACGGACTCTTAGTGCCGGTCCCAAAGGTGTCCGTCTTGGAGAGAGTTGACTGTAACACACTATCACGAGCTTATGAGTCATGTTTGGCCTGTCAACACCTTCCTATAAGAACGTATAAGTAACAAAGCAAATACAATATAGGGCACGGATGGACAAACTTGACGGAGATTAAAACAAATTGAAAACTTGTTAGCCTAACCATGGTTAGTAGCTCTAGGAGACTGGTTATGAAAGCCGGCAAACATCAAAGTTGAAAACAATGGTGCTGTAGGTTATGTTGGAAGCTCCCTGACCGTGAACAATCCTTTGTTTTCTGTTTACAATTTATGACTGAATAAATTAGTGCAATGTTTCTATTGGTCAGTAAGTTCAAAATGACAGGAAGTCTGTTGAACGTTGTGCACAGTCAGGTCCCAGAAAGCTAACAAAAACCTACAACAAAGGAGTTCGCAACTGTTCCACTTTAATTAACTTTGGCCTAACATTTTTTCAAAGTTTATTTTTGTTGTTTGTAGCATTTGATATAATGCTTGGGAGACACATTTGTTTGACACAAAGCTGTGATTTTGTCATTTACGAGTAATTTCTCCGCTAACATTAAGTTCCATGGCGAATAAGGACGCTTGATTGGCAATATTGACAAAGTGAACTGGACATCCCTGACACAGCCCCTTTAAAAACTAGGGAAATCAAAGTGATAAACCTGTAGAATCACTACACTTATTCTCTCTTAGAAATCTTTAAAATTGTTGCTCGATATTTGATTTCTCAGCTATTTGAATTAAGTTATGTTATACAGATTCGTTGATAGATTTATCTCAGTGAGAGATATCAAGAAAAATAAAAATTCAATCCAAAATACTCGTTTTGTCCTATTTATGTTTACTGCTGTTGATGGACTAAAGTGGTAAATTGGGATCGAGCTGATGGGGGCAGGGAGGCTATCTTTGTCGACGAAAGTACTATGATTTTCCTATTTGTCAATAGAAAGTTTCCTGTTTTTCCCATTTTCTCAATCCTGAGTTTCCTATTTTCCTATTTTTTTGAGCAACCGTGCAACATATAGCCTATATAGCCCGAAAAACAGGCGGATCTTTTTTCTTTTGCGTTTTTCAGGTCCGATGGGGGAAGGCGGGGAAAAAACGCCTATCCATTCCGATCCATTGTTTGTTCCATTCTGGCCCAAGACTAACTCGGCTTCCCCACGGCGCGAGGAGGAGAAAACCCTGGGAACGAAGTTGATCAAAATCTTAATGACGATGGTTTTGCTAACAGTTAGACTTTTGTTTTCCCTAGTTGAAGAATAAAGCTCACAAATAACGAAAAAGAACAAAATTAATTAAAATACTAAGAGCCAACCCCGTAAAACATCAGGACTGGAGGGCGATACCGTACAAAGACCTCTACACCCTTGCTTAATTTTCTTATCCGAGACTTAAGAAAACGTAGAAATCTCTTCTCAGAATTTTGAAAAAAGACACAGCTCGGTGCTTTTTTAATCATAGTTTTCACAAAACACCTTACAACGCTCTGACGCCTAAAGTGGGTGACGGTGACACCCAAGTACGAGTCGCCACAAGAACTGTATTCAGGGCGATTCACGATTGAGATCAGATCCCGATTCTATATGGGTCAGATGTTAAAATAAGAAGACAGACAATTCAACAAGAAGAAAAAAATTTGGAACGCTTCACGATTATGCGTGTCATCCTTGCGCCAGGGGCCATGCTAATCTTCTCTGTATCGTTCCAATTTTATTATACGTGCCGCGGTTAAGCGTACACGATCTTGTGTAAAGGCGAACGTTATGTATATTAGACGCAAACAAAAACTCCTCAAACTTGTGGGGCCAGAATGCTCTTATCGCCACGCATTTATCCAACGCATGCGCATGGGTAATACCCCTAAATTATTTTGAAATTTCTCTCCACACGTCTTTTCGCAAGGCTTTGAAAATCTTTTCTCTTGGAACCGAAAAAGATGAACTGAACTGATTTAAAGTTTAACTTTGCACAACTCCTTTTAGTAATTACAGTTTCAAATGTCTATGGGTTCAAACTCTCAAGTTTCCCGAAGATATAGTTAACATCACAATGAAAAAGACTAATTTTCTTCCTTTAGGTTTCTAGCGTGAATTTTTGTGTTTTTGTTGTTGTTGTTGTTGTTGTTTTTGGTGGTTTTTGTCTGCTATGCTTGTCTTAGAAAACACCGTTTAGAGGCCCTGGTGATTTTTCTAATTTAAATTGATGCCCTCAAAATAGAGCCAAGCTTCACGAAAACGTCTGGAAGACGTCGATAACGTCACATAGACCTTATGGTTAAGTACACGGTACATTAGTCCAGCGGTTTCATTCCAAGGGGACATTTCCAAGATGGCGGACGCGATGTGGAGTTTTTGTGTCGGAACGCGAACAATTTGAGGCAATTTGTGAACGTATCATCCTTGTTGGAGACAGAGCCACATAATCTCATAAAATGAACAGAAGCAGTGGTTATAAAGGTGCGTCAAAACTTTATTCATCAGCTATGGACTTTTTTTGGGAGCGTAGTGTTCCAAGAAAGCTTACATTCGACTCCCGTTATTGCGGACACCCTCGGGGGTAAGATTTAGTGTCCGTAATAGTGAGAGTCCGTAATAGCGGGAGTTTGTTTCAGTCATTTTTTTATGCGTTTCGCCGGGGGACTGGCTCTTGTCCGCATCAGCGGGGTGTCCGTAATAGTGAGGTGTCCTCAAGGCGAGATTGGACTGTAGTAGAGTATTAAAGTAGAGCAAGAATTAGGACTTTTGGTATTGAGATGAAGTTAAGTAAATGCAAATATTTGCCCGAAAACTCTTAAGCCCCGTGCAAACAGACGCAACATTTTTGGCCAACAACTCCCAACGAACAACATCGTTGGATGTGACATGTTGTGGCATGTTGTTGTGTGATGTTGGGAGTTAATTGTTGTTAAGGTGATTCCATAGTAAAAGAACCTAACATAGATTTTAGCTAAAACTTGGTACACTGATGTAACAAGTCAAGAAGATGATAAAAAAGTAATTAAAAGTGGGGGTCACCGTGCTCGTTTTGACGTCACAATGCTGACAAATACGGCTATTTAGGACCCTTTTACAAAAACCGCGGGCAGCGCAAAACTAGACAAAAAGGAGAGATTTTTTCGATGATGCATGTGACATCACACAGAATTTGACTTTAATGTATTGTTTATCCACTTACGTACCAGAAAAATGCCTTTTAATGCCCTTGTTTTTACTTTACGCTCCAAAGTAGAATTAAATTGGACGCGCGCTTTTCGACCCGTGATGGCTCAATCCGTACAATTTAGTAAAATTGCCAAAAAACTGAACATAGATTTGTGCCAATTTTTTTCTCATCGAAAGGAAGCACTGTCCTTATTAAAATCATGAAATAAAAAATGGGGGTCACCGTACTCGTTTTTGCGGTAGAGCTGCAGAAAGTGCGCACCAAACGCATTTTCTCCGATTTTTGAGAGAGGACTGGGGCGAGTTTCAAAATAGAATGTATGTGAAAGGGGGAAGAAAGTATTAAAAAATCCGTTTTTACAGAATTTACATCGAGATATCACATTAAGGACACAATGTGATAAAGAAAGTGTTTAAATGAAAATCAAAGTGAGTAAGCACAAGTTTAACATCCACTATCGAGGTTCTCCGAGAGGAGGTCGAACTCGGCAACACGCGTACTGCTTACGTTATGCAGATTCCCAACACATTGAGTCTCACCTCGGCAAGAAACAACAGCAAGCAAAAATTCCAATAGCATTTCTCTTCAGTCAACTTCATTTTAATAATATTACTTCACATGCTCTTTTTTTACGGCGGCCATCTTGTTATGCGCAGTAAGAGATGCGCAGTGCAAAACTAGGGAATCACCTTAAGTAAAGTTTGAAACCGGTCAATCGTTTCAACATTGTTGGCCCAACAATGTTGGGATTTGTTGCATCCGTTTGCACGTAGCTTTAGCAACCGAAATGGTACACGAGACATCAAAAGTATTAATCTTTAAGTGTTAAAAAAGGCTCTTCAAAGTTCAATTTAGAATCTTTGTACTAGTTTTTTTCTTGCATACAGTATGTTATTAGGTTATTTTATCATTATTACATGTACTATTCTCTAATCTAGTTCATTCTTTGCTATCATAGCTTATGACCTTTTTCTGAAAGTTCATGTCCAATTTTAGCCCTTTTTTAAATAATAATAGATTTTTATATAATGACATTTTTTTATGTAATAGATTTAAGTTCTTATTTAGTTAAAGTTTCTTTTTTTTGTTTTACATAGGCCATCCCAATAAAATGTTTCATTTCCCATCACCTGACTGACCCATTTTTTTCGAAAAGTTAAAAAGAAATTCCAGATTCACTAGTCAAAGAAGCAAGTACACAAGCACACATCTTGTTTTAACAACAGTTGGTATGATGTGATGTCCTTGTCTTTAATTAACATTGATACTACGTTTTTTAAAGGCTGTTTAGACATTTGATAGTTGCATTAATATACCTCTTTTACCATCTGATTATATATCTTACAGATTAAACTCGAGATTTAATATGCAAAAGTAAACTGGAACACAAAGTGTTCACTTTTTTTTTTTTGACCGACCGACCCACCATCACAAAAGACGGGGCTATGGGAAACGAAACATTTTATTGGGATGGCCTTAGGTTTTTGTAATGTTTTTTTTCTACACCATCGCATGCACATTCATACAAGTTTTTGTTAACTCTTAGGTGTTTATGTGTATAAATAAATCACTTTACTTACTTACTAAATCAACTGGTTACATGTATTTTAATATTTTTTGTATGTACAGGCCTCTTGAAAACTATAATATGGCAGATGTCCAAGTCTTTACCAGGCCTACAAAGGTGTGATTGCCACATGCGGAATTCAGTGCTTGTTTATCATTGGTCAAGAAAACTGAATAATTGTGCCTTTTTCCCCTCTTCCACTCAACACACAAGTCAACAAGTCACATTCTTTTCGTCTAGATTTGCTAACATTTCCTGGTTGTCCAGTTTAAAAGTTTATCCCTTGTCATCTCGCCTTTTTTTTTCAAGCAAAGGTGAGAGCAATAAATTTCAAGAAAATAACACAGTAACTTTAAAGAAAAACACTAATTCACAGCTTTCAGACTCTATTCCCAAGCTGAGTCACATCGATAGCAGTGGATGGGCACAAATGGTAGATGTTGGCACAAAGAAGGATACAAGTAGGATTGCCGTGGCATCAGCTAAAGTGTACTTAGGTCCTGAAGCTTTTCACTTGGTAAAAGAAAACAAAATTCAGAAAGGTGATGTATTGACTGTTGCTCAGTTGGCAGGGATAATGGCATCTAAGTTGACTGCAAACCTTATTCCTTTGTGTCATAATATTAGCATAACCCACTCCAAAGTCAATTTGGAGCTGGACGATGAGAACTTCACTGTGTGCATTACAGGATCAGTTAACTCAGTTGGGAAAACAGGAGTAGAGATGGAGTCACTGACTGCTGTTACTATAGCCGCGTTGACTGTTTACGACATGTGCAAAGCTGTGTCACGTGAAATTGTCATCTCAGACATTAAGCTTTTGAGAAAAAGTGGAGGAAAAAGTGGCGATTATCTTGCTCCTTGAATTTAGGAAAATATATACACTGATTTCCTGATTTGCTTGTTATGTATCAGCTCATCGATAACAAGAATAATAATAATTGATATTGGTGTTTTCAAATAAACACTTCACAAGAAAGCTCCTATATTTAAAAAGACCTCACGCAATAATAATTTTTTATTGCATTACTGGCTTTGGTGAGTGACCTCAGGGCTTTGCCCTTACCAATTAACTACCAAAAGATATTTCAAATTAAAAAGCTCTTTGGAGGAGTCTAGTTATAACAAAACTTAGGCATTTATCTGAAGGTTATGATATTTCAACCTAGGGGTGACTTAGAATAAAACATTAAAAGGATTAAGATTGCTGAGTAACATTTACAACCAAGGAGAATTAATTTTCAACATTGCTTTTTGAAAAAAAACCAAACATATGCTCTTTTTGTATATGATTGCTTAATGATGAACCTAAATAAGTTAGAAACACATAAATGCATCACAATCTCAGGGCAGGGTCACTACTTATATATATATTTGGCTGTATAACAGGATTGTGCATGAGTGCATTCCCAGGGAAAGCACTCTAGATTCAAGTGACAGGGATGATCGAATGGGGCCAAAAGTCCCATGCCGAATTTCTGAGCCTTAAAAATCTCCAGAAAGGAAAACAAGTGGTTGTACTGTACTCTCAGAACTATGCAGCTGAGATACACAGACACTAGCACGAACCTTCTGATTCTTCTGAATGGCCAAAAATATCCCCACTTAAATCAAGCCACCCAAAATAATACTTGCCAAATTTTACTACCCAAAAAATCCCAGAATCAAAAATTTCAAACCCAAAATAATCCTCAATCATCCCTGTCACTTGAAATCCAGAATACCCCCTGGGGGTGCATTATTTTAAAGTGGGGCCAAGGGGACATCCCTCTCCCTCATAATTCCCTTTTGGAAATTGAGCTTAAATTTTTAAGAATTTACAGTAAAACCTTTCTTCTGGAGCTATTTTTTTAAGCACTGTCTAATGTTCTTCAACCAATAAATAGATAGTATCTAAAGCCGGAGCTGATAAGTCTCCCAGACCCCTCTTTCTAAATCCATCCCTGTTTTGATCTCGGGACTACTTCTATAGAATGTCATATATTAAATTTTATATTAATTAACATTCCTTTGAATGGGGTATAACTTTTAAACTTGATAAAAGTTTTACAGTATCAGCAGTTAACCCTTAAAGTTCTAAGAGCGATCGATTTTCTCTTAACAATATCGATATTAAGTCATCATAGGTGAAGGGTTAAGAAAACTAATTAACTAACTCTTTATGAAAATGTATGGGAAACAGTCTGGAGAAGGGCTGAAAGAGTTAAACAGCTAATCAATAATCTAGACAGAGGTAAATATAACTTGGCCATGGGGTATCACTTGAAATTCCTTTTGAATGCAGAAAATGGTGGCACATCAACTCAAAGTGAGGCCTTTTTTCCCTTTCAACATGCCTTCCATGAAAAAATTTGTTTGTTTAAGTGTCTCACTCTTACAGAGACAATTTGCTGGAAAATTTGGGCACAATCATGCCCAAGAATGGTAAAAAAGTCCACTTCTGTTGACATACATCACTCAAAAAAGCCTTTGCTTGTTAAGCTCCCAAGGATTGTACTTATTACTCATCAAATCTGAATTATATTAGTACGAAATGGAAAATAACTGTTACGGAACGGAGAAGGGTTGAAGGATGCAAGGAAAAAAGGCCCAAGTAGCTGGTGATAGACTTTTAAATTCTCCATTCAAAATGCCTTGTATTCCTTTCAAAAAAGGGGGAGAATTTGACATAAGATCAAGAGTCAACTATTGAAGGATTTTTTCCCTTACACCCCTTCAATAATAAATAATTGAAAGTCGAATACCTAAATGTTTTTAAGTGTAAACGATAACACAGAACTACTCTAAGAGTAGTTCTGTGTTATCGTTTACACTTAATTGTACATTGTAGTTCCAAATAATTATTTAAGGTTGTAGCCTTAAAACTACTCAGATATTTACAATGAAAAGATTTTAGAGACCACTTCTGTGGTCAGTCATAGGCGAAGAAAAAGAGATGAAAATCCACTTTAGTATGCTTCTACACAACTTTATTAAGCATCTGGCTTAAGACATTTCCTACATATTGCCACTGACATTTTAAATTCTACAATTTGTGGTTGCAGAAAATATCCATACCCATTCCACAGAGGGTCCCCTGGGGAATTCTAAGGAGTAGTGGGTCCTAAAGGCAAAACTGTTTATAGGACAGAACAAACCTTGTGTATCATTCTCAGAGAGGCAAGAGGATCAAAAAACCTCCCATGCAGGGAGTATGGATATTTTCTGGAGTGCTCAACATATTAAGAGGCAAAATCTTGAGACAGTCTTATTTTACAGTGCAACACCCCATATTGTGGCCACTCATCACACTGAAAGTAAGCTAACTAGTGTACTTTGAGCAGGGTATGATAAATGATTGGTGCAGGAAGATTTTAATTCTACACATTCTACCAAGTGTCCGTCATTTCCATTTGCCTTATCTTTTTATTCTTTCAGTCATAAACACAACAGCTTTACCCTTCCTGTCTATTTAGAATTGAGGATGTAAAAGATCAAGAAGGAAAGAGAAAAGATCAAAAATTGCCAAACACTATTCAACCAATTTCTTGGAAAAATATTGGAAACATGTTGTGTCAGCTATGTTTGAAGCACCTTTTGTAATTAGCAACTGCTGACTGAATTTTTCAAAAACATTCATTTTCTGGGCAACCACAAATATAGGTGTGTCACACTGTACTTTTTTTTTCATTTTTTTTTTTTTACAATCAACTGCCTTACATAACATTGCCTCTTCATAAAAGATTATTTTTACCCTTAAACTCCCAAATAACCATTTTTGAAAATCTTAAATCTTATTTTGCAGAGTAATAAAAGTGAAAGGGTACATTCATTGAACAAAGGTGGAATGTTCAGAAGAAGACTCAAAAATAAAACTGGATCTTGTCTCCAAAATTGACTTTGGGAGGGAAAAGGTTTATACTACACAGCACCATTATTAGGGAGCTTATGCAACAAAGACAGTGACAGCTACAAAAGTGTCCCATAAAAATTAATGCAAATTAGTGCTGCTTTAAAACTTATCGCCCTTATTCCATCTTGTTCGATTCATAAAATGTTGGCAAGTTTTTCTGGAGTTGAATTCAAAGACTGTATTGAAATTAAAGAAAACAAAGTCGCTGTCTTGTGTCTACTTCCTCCACAAAATGTAAAATGAGGCACTTTCACATCATAGTGGTACAGTTACAGCAAAGAAATGTACAAAAAAGGTGTGGCATGTGACTGCAAAAATGTTGTTTTGCTAATGTAAACCTATTGCTTTTCTTGTGTTCTTGTTGTCATCGCCATTACTTAAGCTCCCTATGATTAAACTACTCAGTTCATTTTCTACCAGAAGGTATATCCTCCACCAGTGCCTCCGCTGAACCACCCAGCTTGCCTCTGTTGTACATTAACAGACTGTCCCTGGGATGCTGCAATTTGAGCTGCATTAGGAGCATAACCTGGAGGAGGAGGCTGTTTAAAACAAAGCATAAAGATTAGATGGGTTGGAATGTGATAGATGCATGCTAACATTTTGTGATGTAATAAAACATATTTTGATTTCCTTCATGATTTGGTTACTTGAAATTTTGATTGTAACAATTCAACCACTTACTTAGCGTTAGGAAACAGCCGACATTTCACGACTCCATCACTGGTTACCCCACAAAACGACGTCTAAAGAACAAGCATAGAAATAGGCCTTTTTCAAAAATACCATAATACTCTTTGTTTTCAATTTCTCTAGAGGTGATTGTAAGTCCCAAGAGAAACAATGCTTATATGCAAAATTTTGGAGGGGCGACCAAGAGTCTTAAGGTATTTTTTTAAAAAGGCCTATTTCATACTGATAATTGGGTAGTAATGCATGATCAGTAAATGGTAAATTTGTGTGCTTGTTTCTTGGACCCCATTTTCAGGGGGGAAAACCAGTAAGGGCATCGCAAAATGTTGGCTATTTACTCAAGCTAAGACTTACTGGCATTACATCTTTATTACCTTATAAGGTTCACGAAATTGTTTTATTATCATCATAGAGTACTAAAGTGTGACGTCATAAAAATGAAATTTCTGAAATCAAGGAATTCAATACAAACCCTTTTTTGGGTCGACCCAGAAAAAAATTACACCAGTTTATATGGAGTTTTCTAGGTATAACCAGCTAACATCTCAGAGACAATTTACCCTGAAATGCTCATTTTTGGTAAGTGGGCCTTTTGGACATTGTTCTTTCAGAATATCCTGACAAATCCCATAATTTCAGAAACTTAATCTTTATGATGTCATCACTTTAGTACTCTGTTCTTGGCTGCTCACTGTTCAACTGGACAGAGGCAGAGGAGAAGTTATACCCACCAGAGACCACTGATTTACCTTTATCTTTATCTCAGAACAATAAGGGTTACAAGAAGATTCTATGACATAGACTGTAAATAATAACAGTTCACTAGTACTCTACCAGAATCACAATAACAATTGTTTTGTCCAACCAGTTATTTCACGACGACAACAACAACAACAACAAACTTGATTGGTTATTAACTAACAGTCACACAATGCTTGAGAACACACATGTAACTTCAAACTCTTCAAGGCAGGGTCACATCATCTTAGTAGTATTAACGTACTTACTGGAACATTTACTGTTGCCCCAGCATTAAATCTTGCACCAGGATCAAAAGAGCCTTGGACCACAGGCATAGCACCCTGCATAGGATACTGCCCCACAGGGTACTGCTGTGTTGGGTATCCTGTAGGGGCCATGCTGGGATATGGTCGTGCCACTTGCTGAGGCTTCAAGAAAAAAATTATAGTAAGTGGAAATTATGTTACAAGTACACTTTCATAGATGTTAAGAATCATCACTTTTTCAATGTCATATTCAAAGTAAAGTGTCTAACATCGAAGTTAAGTTTAAAACAAATGAGATATGGATCTCTTAACAGCCTCAAACAGATGGAGTGGATAGTCTACTATTTATAACCTGTTATAATATAATTATAGTACTTGGCGAAAGCATATTAGTTTTGTGGAGTTTGTCCAAATAATATTGTAAAATAAATGCCTCTTACTTTTAACCCCCCCCCCCCTATCTATTAAACCCCCACAATAGGGCTCCTAAAATTAAATAGGCACCCCAGGCAACTATTAGATGATATAAAGTATAGTTGATTCATAAAAAACTTGTTCCTGAATTTCCCAGTCAGCTTAAACCACAAATGCAAACAGTTTACCCTGCTCCCTTTAAAGATAAATAATTACATCAACAAATAAAGCAAGCAGTTCATTTACATGTACACAACTGAATCTTTTTATAAAATATTTGTACTTATAAAATTAAAATATTCAATGGAGGATACTTTCAACAACAAGAGGCTGTTGTAAAATTTGTTCCCTGCTAGCAGAGGCCTCTTTTCTCTGGTATTTGGCGGGCAGGAGGAAAGGAGACCTCTGCCATGGGCTAAAACAGACTTTGTTGAAGAGCCACGGTCCACACTCATGAACGGTGTTTTGCAAAATGCATACTCCTTGTAATGTTTACTGACAGTTTCTTGAGCCTGCTGAGGCTCGTGCATATCTTTAGAGACCATCCCCTGTCAGTACAATCTCAATTATCAACTGAGGAACAACAGGACATTGCACTCCCGTCCAAAGAAAAACAATCAATAAAAAAGCTTTCACGCTGTATGCGTTCTAGTTCTCCCGCTTTAACAGGACTAATTTTTGTGTGATCGAAATTTTATGACTATAGAATGAGGTATATTCGTCACTGCTAGCAGAAGCCACTTTTCCCTGGTTTTCGTGCTATATTCTTTCTTGTTCACGCGCTATGGTCTGTTACACATACTCGGAACAACAAAATATAATTTTCTCGGTCAAAGTTTAGAATTCCTAGCTCTGTACTCCACACACTGCATAACCTAAGCAAAAGAAAGAAAAGAGGTCACGTTTCGCACTATCACAAGGTTGTACGGTGCATTTAGCCTGTCAACACCTTGTTTCAAACTTAGACATGTGCTAAAATTTTCACGTGATGATTAGGTCTCCAATCAACCGCGCTACATGCTCAACAAAGTCCATTTCGGCCCATTTTTCCTCCCCCCCACTGAATACTAGAGAAAAGAGGCCTCTGCTAGCAGGAAAAAGATGTGTTACTGTGATTATATATTTATGACAAAATCCCAGAGACATCACTATAAAAAACATGTGAGAACATCTTTTATAAATCTTGTTTATACAGAATAATAATCTCATTCCTATTCCAGAATAAGGTCAAGAAGAAAAGCCTTAACATACCAGCACATTGTAGCCACTATTAGCAGGACCCTGTGCAGGTTCACTGTATGGAGGGGGCGGAACTCCGTATGGTCCCTGTGCACCATAAGGAAGGTATCCTCCGGCGGACTGTTGAGGTGGAAGGGCGTATCCACCACTAAATTGTCCCTGCTGGAGCTGGGCAGGGTAAGCCGGCTGTTGAGTTGGATATTGTGCACCCTGTTTTGGGTAAAAACCTGAAAGGTAACAAGGGGTGTTGAGGAAATTCTGTGCATTAGGTTCTGCTCCTGACTTCGGGTAAGTCAGAGGAAAATGGGATTGAGTTTTAAAGGAACAGTACGTGCCACCGAAAATCCTGGTTGAGACCAAAATCCAACATCTTTAACCCAAAGCAAGATAACGAGTATCCTTGTCAATTTTATATGAGAGTCACCATCACGGGATTGATCCCCATGCTACTGGGGACCATAATAAACTTTTAGGCATCCTACTGATGAACAGTTACGACATTTAGATTTTCTATTTTATAGACTTTTATAGAACTCAAATAACGGATTGTCCACACGTTCTATTTTTCTTGGATTTCAATGATTATTATTGAAATCCAAGAAAAATAGAACGTGTGGACAAACTGAAACAAATTATATATTATTTTGCATCACATCTATTACTACCACAGACCTCTCTGTATACATTCTCAAAGTAATCATGAGGTTTCAAGAAAGGCAAGATAAGTCACCAGGACATTTGCAGAATTTTGCTACATATAGGGGAAATTTAGGTGCAGTTTCAAGTTTTAAAATTTCCTGTTTCCAGCAAAATGTAGTTTGGAAAAAACAGTAAATTTCTGTGATATCCCATTATCTGGCATTATCTAACAACCCCAGGGTTAGTAGTCAAACAATTTTGCACCCAATTGTGAAGACAGAAATAAAAACCATCATAATGAAACTGGATGGAGTTATGGAGCTATGGAGATATCTTCTTGTGTTCTGCGAGTTAGCCATATGCCTTTCCTCCAATAGGGCTGCTATGATTACATCTCTTAAGCTTATATATCCTAGATATATAAGTCACTGTCAACAACAACAGTCCTATTCAGGACTACGTTCACCCGGACGATCAAACTCAACCTTTTGATATCCTAGATATACTGGCAGGACTATCGTATCCTTAAAAAAAACTCTTCATTACAGAAGTAGAGATTATAACACTGCTCTTAACAACTTACCAGCTATTTGTCTAAAAGCTTAATTCAATTCTGGCGTCAGTAAGCTTAAGTTAACTCTAATATCGCTGATAGAAGCTAAATTATCGTATGGCTCGCCGAGAGGAATTATTTCTATTGACAAAAAACACCATGAGCAGCAGTTTAGTATTTTCATCTTAATAATCTTTCAAACTTATTCAGTTCTCTGTCGAAAACATAGACTTAAGCAAAACAAAAACGTCCTATAATTGTCAAAATCAGGAATTTTTGCCATGGCTTGGCAATAATCAGCTAGCAAGGCAAAATGGCATCGAACGTATGAACCGTCGTTGACTTGTAGTATTATTGCATTGTAAGCAAACTAATGAGCACCCCTGATGAATAATGAGTCCACTATAGAAGTAAAACCAACCTTGTGGAGTCTTGGACATGGTTCTTTTAGGCGTTTTCAAATCGAATTGTTCCAATTTTAAAACCAGGAACTACGAAATAATCCTAACAAACAAATCTTTCAATAATAGTCGAGAAAGCCTGGGATACAGTGTCCCAGAATTCTTTGGAGC